ATATCATGATGCTCGAACATTGTGACCTTTTTGTGCGGATGTTACCGCATTTGAGTTTAGAAAAGATTGGGTCTACTTTAGGTGAATATCTCTCTCATATTAAGCTTGATGCTCGAGGTATTGGAAAATGTCCCAACTGTAGCCGTGAATGGTTTGCCACCATTCAAGAGGTAGCATCTGTTAATTTAAAACAAAAAAAAAAAAATTTTTCAGCATTGCTGACTGACTCACTACTGGCATGTTGTAATTTTGCTTGAAAGTATAAAGCACTGACTACCTTGGGAGGAAAGAATGGAGGCAAATATGGATTCATGGCCATAAAATACCTTAAATGCCTGACTATAGATTAGAATTAGGTTTTAGAGAGCCTTGTCACCAGGGTTTGTGAGTTTTTCCACTCCACTCTAACTGTCCCAGAAGCGGATCTTGTAAAGTGGTTATGGCTGGTCAAAGCTTCAGGAACCTTACTGCTGGTGTATGTTGATACATTAGAATCATAGAATGCCCACAGTGCAGATAGAGGCCATTTGGCTCTTTGAGACCACACCAACCCTCCGAAGAGCATCCCACCCTATCCCCGTAATCCCATATTAACCAAGCACGTTCCTGGACACCATGGGGAAACTTAGCACGGTCAATCCACCTAAACTGCACATCTTTGGACTGAGGGAAGAAACCGGAGCACTCGGTGGAAACTCATGCAGACATGGTGAGAATGTGCAAACTCCACGCAGACCGTAACCCAAGGCTGGAATCGAATCTGGGTCACTGGCACTGAGAGACAATAGTGCTAACCACAGAGCCACCCTATGATACATTATGTGCTTAAGTTCTAGATTTGCCCTTATGCACTCTCTTTCTGGAGTTTGTCCACCTTAGCTGTGTCAATTTATGCTGAGATTGTCTGTCTGGGTTTGGTAGGCTGACTTCTTTTGGTAAAGCCCGCTGTCAGGACCAACATTAGAATCCGGCAAGACTCTGCATTAACGTTTTTCCAGCCCAATTCACAGGCAGCCAATTGAAAATGACAGCCCAATCAAAAGGCTGGCAGCTCAGCAGCTTCAGAAACCACAA